GTGTTGTTCTCGTCCGCACGTTCAAACGTACACGTGATACAAGTTCCTGCTGTCGTTGGATTCTATTGCCAGAATTCTTGACGTTCAGTGTATTGAAAGGGCTCTTCTCCCGCGGACAAGGTCGGGAGAACAATCCCTCGGGATATGTAAATGTGTCTCGACACCTCTCAAAGCTTTACTACTCCATCCAGTACACTGCACATCAAGCAAGTTGTGAACCTGGAATCGACTTCTTCTGCGATATGTGTTTCGAGTATGCATGCATATGTTTCTATGGCCGACAGAAGGAGAGACAGCAGTAGGAGGATTATTTGCCGGATTTCTCCTTTGTCATCTCCGATGAAACTGACATCATGCACCCGCCCCGCCTCGAATTTTTTGGACCTACAGCCAGTAGGTACGGTTTTTGCCTAGCTTCTTGCTCCACCTTTAGAAACAAACACCAAGCCACGTTTCAGGACCTCAGAAAAAACTACACCCACCTTGCTGTATCCACCTGCCAGGCGCATTCATCGCGGGGGGGAGAATCAGGGCGGGCAATACGTCCAACTTTACGGGCGAAGTTTTGTCAGTGACAGTTTTCCTTTTCCACCGCATGAAAGTCGACGGAAAAGAAGGACGAGCTTGATGCAGTACGCGCGTTGCCCCCCGCCCTTGGACGCGTAAATCTTTCGGGGCACTGCTGCAACACAGGACCCATAAGTACTGTAGGGCAATTACTTGATGTGTTGGGCTGCCGGAATAAAAAATCAGACATGTGCGTATGTATGTATGTTTTAGAGGGAGGGATAGTCTACCCATCCTCCCACGGGCACACGCACCCGGAGAAATTCCGGGCACATCGATCGGCCACCACCCCCCACCCCCCGCAGGGAGGGAGAAGAAATTCGAAAAGTTGCCATGATTTTTTTTTTTTTGCCTTCCGACAAATGCAGATGTACCTCAGAAAACTTTCACTTAATGTCTCATACTCTACATGAATATTAAACCAATACGATTTACAACAAAATATGTAGGACAGGGCTTTTCCAACACGGAGATGTAGCATGGATCAAAGCACTTGTTGGATTTCAGCTTTTACAAGAGGACATCAACGCAGTAGTATTTTAGCAAGCTTACGAACGCATGTAGGATACCATGAGGATTGTCATTGGTTTTATTTCAAGTTGAAGAGGAGATATTTTTACGGTGTATGTATGTGACAGTAGAAATAAGTCCTACATATGTTGTTGTACTTCGTATTGATTTAATAATAGTTTTTTTTTTGAAAAAGTGTGGCCCGTTAGGGGTACGCTTTTTGTTTTGTTTTGCAAAAAAAAGCTGTTTAGAGGGATCGTGTGGGGAGTATGTGTGCACGAGAACAAGAATAATTTTCATGCACAGGGGCGTGAAAATTTAGCCATGGCTGTCTGGTGTCTGGTGTCCGCGCGCCCTAAATACCCAGCAGACTCGAGCCCATTTCACCATCTCGGCACCAAATTGCAAACTAAAACTTGCGCACAACGAGTAACATTTTGCCCGAGCTGTCCCACTCGCCACCTTTGCAATCCGTGGTCGGTGTCTCGAGATAGCACACCGGTTGTGCAAATATATATGTCACATGGACGCATCCCCTGGAGGCGTCGTCATTTTGTTTTTCTCTGGGCAACAAACTACACGCACGCCAGAAGAAACCACGACGCACTGCCGTGCTGCACACATTGCTGCTGCTACTGGCAAGACACGCACTACACAGAGACAGGGGACATGGACAAGGGGGGCGGGACACACACACATACTGCTGTTGGCGACGGCGAAGGAAGCGGGGAACGTTTGGTTGGTCTGGGGTTCATTCATCGCTGATGATGTTGTTGCTGTTGTCTCAGTTGTTTGTTGTTGTTGTTCAACGCTGCCGGCCTTTTTTTCGCTTTTTTTTCTCTGGAGAGAGAGGGAGTCCAACCAACCAGCGTGTGTTGCACACACCACACAACGAGAGCGGGACGGGAGCAGGGTGTGCCCTATACTACTGCTGCTGCTAGCTTTCGGCGGAGGAAGCGAGGGGAGAGATATTGATTGGGTCTCTGTGCGTCCATCGGTTGGTTGTTGTTATTGTGTTACGACGCGGCGGGAGAGAGCGGCCTCTGACTCTCTCTCTGCTCTGGAGAGAGGCACACATACATCACAGCACGGGACCAGTAACACATCACGCTCGTTCCTAGACGATGTCGTACCACTGCTGTGCTGTGCAACTCTCTACACTCTTTGTGGGCGAGAGGCTGTGTCGCCTCTGCTGCTGCGGCTGTTGCTGTTACCTAAAGCGGTGGCGGAAGCGTCCTGTTCAAACAATCAGCAGCAGCTAGAGAGCCGGGGATTTTTTCAACGTTTTTTTCTTCCTCTCTAGCGGATGACGATGGATAGCACCCCCCCCTCTGATGATAGCACCCCCCCCTAGGTTGCTGACGATGGATACCACCCCCCTCTCTAGCTGATGATGGACACCACCCCCCCCTCTAGCGAATGATGATGGATACCACCCCCCTCTCTAGCTGGTGATGATGGATAGCACCCCCCCCTGATTGCTGACGATGGATACCACCCCTCTGGCTAGCTGATGATGGACACCACCCCCCCCTCTAGCGAATGATGATGGATACCACCCCCCTCTCGCCCCCCGCTCTTCTGTAACAGACGCACGAGCCTACTGCAGGTACTTTTGTGCAACCACCACAAAAAACTATTCCACCTCCAACTCTAGTATTCATGTAGAGTATGAGACATTAAGTGAAAGTTTTCTGAGGTACATCTGCAATTGTCGGAAGGCAAAAAAAGAAAAAACATATGTAGGACTTATTTCTACTGTCACTTACATCGTAAAAATATCTCCTCTTCAACTTGAAATAAAACCAATGACAATCCTCATGGTATCCTACATGCGTTCGTAAGCTTGCTAAAATACTACTGCGTTGATGTCCTCTTGTAAAAGCTGAAATCCAACAAATGATTTGATCCATGCTACTTCTCCGTGTTGGAAAAGCCCTTTCTTCTCCGTTCATGATAACATCTTACCCTATTATACGCAAATCTGTTACATCTACTGTCAAACAAGACGCCAACTTCAAACGACAACGCGTTCTACGATGCGTCTACACTCCATCCCCATATCATTGGCGTTGACTGGTTCGAGGTCGATCTTGTTCGTCGAAAATTTACCATGAAGTTGCAGGAGATGGATGACAAACGTGCCTCTCTCTGGTTACCCGTTCTGCATCTACCCAGCCGTACTACATAGACGGACACACGGAAACAAGCACCCTAGTTCGCGTAGCGCTTAATATCTACGAAGAAGTAAAGTAACATAGTATCCATCATAGCTTGACTTTAGCCCAAAATGCAATTGGAACAAGTCTTTGACCACAGCTTTCGTATTGAACCACCTGCCTTGCAAACTTGCCCTTCCTTGCCGTCTCCTCTAAAAATAAGCAGCACAACAGTGAACATGATCTCGCAAATCTACTCGTAGCCTTGGTCTTCTTGTAGGGTTACGTTTGAATTGACCTTTCGGCCACACGGACGACTGGCGGGATACAGCGGCTGCTGCTGGGATATGCATGCGAAGATTGCGAAGATGACCCTGTAGTGTGCGGGGTGTCTCTCATCTCTTGGGGACCCCTACAACTCAAATGCGCCAGCAGCGCCAGCGATGATGCACACCATGCGAGAGCGGGACGTCAAAGCGACGATACCTCGGCAGAAAACCTGGGGATTGATGGGTATTTTCCCGCCGCCGCCCCCAAATGACCCCGAAGCGCCGACGCCTCGGCGGAAAACCCGGGGATACATGGGTACTAGGGGGAACGATTGGCCCCCCGCACCCCAATGGGGCTGGAGGCCAGCATGCGTCGGCGGTTCGATAAAGATGGGAAGTAGACGCGATGGTGACATCGCGTCGGAAAAAGGGTGCTCGAAGTCGGGTTAGTTAGATAGACAATGTAAGGTCAATACGTACGTCGGTCCGTTGCCTAGATCGGTGTTCTGCAATACAAAATGGAAACGAAAGGGATTTTCGTGGAATGGTCGATGCCCTATCACAAAACGTAAAGCGGACGGAAGACGGGGGTGAGGAATACTTTGAGGAGGGAATGGGGAAGAAAAAGACGAGGCCGTATGAAAGCGAGAAAAGGTAAGGGGCCGTTGTCACCGGTGGCCCTCTATGCGTGGATGAATTCTGCGGCGGTGTCGTATCAGTCCGTGCGAGTGGTGGTTGTGGCGGGCGAGATGGCGGAATTAGAGAATCCGTGTAATCACAGAGGATTGTGAAGAAGTGAACCGCCCCGCCGCCAGCCGGTCGGGTTCCTGTCACGCTACGGAAGACTTCTCTTGCCTTGCAAAGTCTCGAGAAGGGGGCAGTAATGTGGAGACCACCTTCTACCTTAATAAGAAAGGTACTATCTCCCCAACGTCTGTCGAGGACGATTCCTTTTTTTCACAGTTAGTTGGGAAATCCGGGAGTTTGAGGAAGGCCGGTTGTTATTTAGGATGCGTAGAAATCGATTCCTTGTATATATGTTCACGTTATCATGCTTGGACGGGACTGGCGGTCAAAAGAAAAAATATCAAACATAGTGGATGATAAGCTCACCATCCCCTCCCGTGAGCAAATTACCTGCGATACTGATTGCCGAGAAAATGGTTCGTAAGGTAGGGGGGGGGTGTCGTACTTTCTCTCGTACGCGCCAAAATTTAGTTTTCCTTCTTTTGATTTTGATATGTGTTTTTGGTGGACATAAGCTACGCGCACAACACACATTGAAGCATCTTGAGCAGTTCTTTCGTGTTGACCGGGACCAAATATTCAGGGTGGCAACAATGAGCAAGTTAGACGGGCAATAACGAAGGGGGGACAATACTCTATTCAGAAAATCAATGTATTTTTGGAAGAAAAATGTGTTGTGAGCGGGAATCGAACTCAAGACCTTGTGCGTACAAAGTCTTCGAGGGAATACTCTACCTCTACCTCTACCTCAATATTGTTTGAACCGGCCTTGCTCACATTTCCTAGCAGAGGGAGAATGTCTTACAACAGGGATAACTACGCGCATTCGCTAGTCCACAGCACGCCGAAGTGTTGCAGTTGTCCTACACGTTAATGGGCATCAAGAAACACGTAGATACCAAGAGATTACACGTACCTGCCTATAGTTCTCCTTTACGGGTACAACTCTACCAGGAAAACTTGTCGAAGGCTCATTACTGCTGTGAATTCCCAGGAAAGGTACATCACGTGCAGTGGCAGACTCTCGGCTCCCTACGTAAAACGCAATACATTTGCGACTGCGGACAGAATAAGAAGACCAAAACGAAAGGACGAATGGCATCTGATCTTTGCCGTTACCCGTCAACGTGGCGGGCACTGCGGCATGGAAAATACAAAGTACGTCAACTTTCGTGATGCTACAAGTAGCACCGGACACCGCCCTTTTGTGGATGCATGCGAAATCCGTTCGCAGATACACAACTACTGAGGCAAAACCGCTCTGCTGAGGAGCGAAACACCAATACGTTCGTCCGCACAAACAGTCGTTGCGGCTCTGGAACTATACGTATGAATGAACAAAGATCCACGAGTCCCTTCACTGCTGTGAAGTCGTAAAACATCGACAAACATGCGTTTGCACAATGTGACCTTCTCAGGTAAAAAGCGATAGTTCGGAAGGCCGACAAATACACATGGACTAGAGTACGATTCTTAGAGCAACGGACAAATGAAACCCGATCTCAGCTTCCCCATCTTCGCCGGGGCACTGCACCATGCAAAGTATGCATGCATATGGAAAATACAAACCTGTCGTGCTGCGACGAGAATGACGGCAGCACGGCTTTTGGAAATTAATTACATGCCAAATCCTAATCCACCCATACCTAAAGCAAAACCACCCTCTGCTGAGGACCAAACGCCAATACATTCGTCCACTGGCAGAAACGTTGCGGCACTGGCACACACATGGGAGGAAAACGTATTCAACGGTCCCATCACTGCTGTGAATTCCCACGAAGGGCGAAAACATGCACTGGCAAACAATCGCCTCTTCACGTAAAAAGTACGGAGTAATACATTACCTAATGCCGAAAACATACAAGAACCCGTGGATGCGACCACGGCGCTACACATGCCTACAGCACCGTGGCACAACATCACCATTGCAACACCACCATTGTTGGTAGTAGCTGCACGGCAAGCATGCTGAACTTGCGCAGCTCGAAGGACTGGAACACAAGAAATTTATTCCAGTACGTCTACCCGCCCCTCCCCCGTGGGCACACTTGTACGGTGTGCACAGGGAGGAAAGACAACAAGACAACGAAGGGACACCAACTGACGTCGTGATTCACAACCTAAACGCTTACAAGTGGCGGCGCCGTGGTGACGGCACGATTCGATCTCCGATCGGGGGGCCGAGTTTCCCTACCAAATAGGGTAATCCCCGTAGCACGCAATAAACACACCCGCATCTCGAACTACCACACGTCACAAGCGACGCCTGAAAAGTACCCCAAGATCACCCTACAAACAAACCTACAACTAGCTTCTTCCCTTTCGCTGGACATCAACCCCCACCCTCGCTATGCAAGGCGTTTGATTTCTAAAATCCGCCGCACGAAGTCATAAACCACAGAGACCGTAATGCATTCGGGGACCACAGCGTTTGATCAGAAATGAAGTCTCATGCCTGCGACGTATTTCGTAGTTCGATTCTGCAACTGGCAGTGCACGCTTTCTGCTCGGGCATACTAGTTTGAACAAAGAACGAAGCAGCACTCGCTTCGTGAAGCCATGGACCAGACAACGTAGCGCGGTGCGATAATATCGCCGGTTGTTGGCCACCCTCCACTCTAGGAAGAGGGAAGAGGTTGTCCCCCCAGGTACGTACGTCGTGCCTGAAAATGAATCATACAGTAGTAGTACCGCGAATCCACGAAGGTCCGTTTTAGTGCCTGTGGTGTACCACGAGGTGGTTAATGCGCCTGACTTAGCTATGCCACAATTTGAACCACCAGCTGATCCAACTACCGAAAGGCATCAAGTTGATGTTTAGATAGCTCTGACCAAAAGGCAAATGACGCAGAGAAAACCCACATTGGATCACTTGAGCTGCCTACGCATCCTTGTCGGCAGCCTTGTAGTTTGTTTTTTCCCGCCGCGGTTTCAACGGGGCGACGCACGAGGCAGTCGGCCAAGGTATTATCATCCGTGCAACAAGAATTGTCGTGGCACGTGTCCACGGCCTTCAATTGCCTGAGCTACCTGGATGAGTATGGCACGCATTTTTGCGCAAAGAGGGACACGACGGCAATCGAGATGGCAATCAAGTTGAACAAGCAGCAACGAATAAATTTGAACGTTTGAAGCACGACATGCCCTTTGGGGAAAGTCCCGGGCGCTTTGACTTCGTATACATTTGCAACCTGTTACAATACAGTTTCCGGATCTTCTGATTGGAACTCAGCCTTCTGCACGAGATAAATTCGTGGAAAGAATGGGTTGTCTTGCTCAAGACGACATCGGTGTTATCCTCGAACTGGTGTACTGCAGGCGCATAAAGACTCAGACAGCGGCGGCATCCTTCACATGCCGCGTGTGCAAGGAGGGAGAACCCTACCGAGGTGAAGTAGAAATGCACTGCGACGGGTATGCACGCCACCGATTCCGGTACGTTCTTGAGCGATACAATGATCCTAGACACGGGCGGGTTGATTGGGATCGGGCATCTCCGGTATGTACCTGCCCCACGTTTCACACACCATCCCAGGGACGATATGTGTAACCGGTGGAGTGACCTTGGGGTTGCCGACAAAGATGGCGTCCATCTTTTTTCGTCCAGAGTAACGGGTGGCTTTCGGGTTGTTGAAGGCACTCCTCCACGCCCTGAAGCTCTTGACCAAGCCGTACTTGAAGGGTTCGCACTTCGCGTGGGCCTCGATGGACTTCTCAAGGGACGGATCCTCTGAATTGCCTGTTTATTAAACGAAGGACGGCACGTGCTACTTTGAATAGCTTCGTGAGTCGAGCTCCATCACAACGGACATACACACACACCCTCCCGGTGTCCCATGTCGTGGCGCTAGTTCTTTCTTTGTTCAACCGCACTGAGACTGATGTCTTTTATTAGATGGTCAGCCGCTTGGCCCGGTTGATGCCGCTTGGCCCGGTTGATGCTAATCTTGAAAATACACGATGTTTCGAGAGGTTTGAAATGCAAATCGCATAAATGCATTCGGCGGAAACCCCAGGGGGGGTTAGGCGAAACCCAACTCGGTGAATCTGTTCGTGGGTGTTCAGGCTGGATCTTGAAGGTGGGGCTTGGCCAGGGTGGTCTGCCAAGCGTCCGCTCGCAAGCATATCCGAGCCGGAGGCAGTTGATCATTGCGGAGCTGTGACAAGTGCTCTCGCTGGAACCACGCTCAGTCTGTGCAGAAGGAGTGGATGTCTGCATCGCGTGCATCGTCTTATTCACAACTAAGAGTTTGCGGACACAAGATTTCACGACTACAGTTTTGCCTTTCTGCTGTCGCTTGTTGGATGGAGAGATATAGATCGCCGAGGAAGAGGGAGGGATAGATTCCAGGTTACAACATGCGGCACAACTCTAAACATCTGACCCTGTGCTCGGCACTGCAAACCATCGGCCTAAACGAGGCATTCTACAACGAGACGTCCGACGGAGTGTCGGCCTTGCTACTCGCTTGTGCTTTCAAGACGACCAAGGTTCGGGCGATGCTGAAACCTTCGAGCTACATGTTTCGTATCGATCCGAACCCGCATGATACCACGACAGAAATCCTCGTGCACCCTCTAATAGACCCTAATCTAGCTCGTCGTGGGCAGCCCATGGGTTGCCCATCGTGGGGGGTCGCGGTAGTGCTCACCATGGGCTGCCCATCGGCGGCCCATTGCCCATGGGGCATTTGATAAAACTATCAGTAGTGTGGGAGATTCCACGCAGAACGTGGTCGCCGGCATCATTAAAGCACTAAAACCAAACGTGGACTGTCGTCAGATGCACTCAGGACAGGGTGCAGCGACAGCACGAAGTAGTTAAAGAGGGCCGGCGTGCAATGGATGTACTGTAAGTTGTTCATTGTGAGGAGATTGGATGTATGTAAATAGATTGTCATGATTGCCGCAGCAGGGGTGGGGGCTGACAGACGTGATGTTCGAAGTTGTAATTGTGGGTGAACTCTATGCGGGTTTACAGCAAGGTCACGCTGCAGGCAGCATCTGTACGCCGGTTCGAAACTGGATATTGTTGTGAACTACAGTACAGTAGTAGTTGATAGGAGTTTCACAGGAGTGAAGTCGGGGTCGGTTGCAGAGCGAGATGCCGTAGACGAAGTACAATTGCATACAGAACATATTCGTGATCGTGCCGCACCCATGTGTGTGCAAGAATTTGAAAACTTTGACCAAAACCAAACGTGAACTGTCGTCAAGTGCATCCATAACAGGGTGTGACGATAGCACGCAAGGGTGCAGTGCATGCTGTCGTTGCTGCACCAAAGTTCATTCGACATGTGGTGGCTTGAACGCTAGGCATTCCGTCGCAATGCATGCTGCGTGGCGCGAACAAAATACAGACGGCACCATTTGGTGTACACGCAGCAAGAGGACGTGGTCGCCACAACATCAAAACAACACTGGAAGCAAGCATGAGCCGTCCAAAAGTGCGCTCATGACAGGGTGTGACGAGGGCACCTTAAGGTTCGATACACGTCGTCGTTGCTGCACGAAGGTTGTGAGACGTGTAGTGGCCACAAACCTAGGCATTCCGTCGCAACGCATGCTGTGTGGCACACACACAAACAAAAATTAACACTGTCGGTGTACACCGGTCGCGGATTGACTTGCATCGTCACTCGCTTGTGCTGCCCGACAGCAGGCAACGGGCTGCAAGAGTCATACCCAACGCCTCTTATGATGTGTGCCTTTCGCTGCCCTTGGCCTATTGCAGTCCGTATACTGCTGTGCTGGTTGTATCGTGTGTTGTCTACGTGATGTGTGTGGTGCGGCTGTGCAAGAGGATTTCGGTGATTCTGCCGAGAGCGTCGTGCCCATCGCCCAATCGTCTGTCTTTGTCTTACAAAATGTCTTGCAAACTCGACGGGTGCTTGGTGCGAGATGGGTATCTGACCGGCTCTACCCCTCTAAAACATTGTTGGAAGTTCTTCCGTGCCTCACAAAAATCGCCCTATTTATTAGCGGGAAAAGGTCTGGAGATCCCGGGAAAAAATCCCTCCGGAGCACGAATCAAACCCAAAACCTGCCATCATGGAGTTGTGCAGATCGTGCAGGATACGAGGAAGATCCTTGATATTGTAGAAAACTACAGGAACCTAGAGTTGGTACGATAGCGTCGCCTGGACAACACCCTTGTATTGCCTGTTGGCGTAGACTACTGTGTGTATGGAACAAAAAGTATATAACGCCAAAGTCCTCCTCAACCCCCATTGCTGCACATTTTCCGACATTATTAGGATATAATATCATTCGGGGTGTTACAAAATTATTGGAGGGGACTAAACAATATCTCGCCTATTCTTCGGTTGTTGGTCCCTCAGGAGTCCGTGGATAGCTGGAGGTCAGCGCTCAGCAGACGCGGCACCCAAACGTTCCGGTAGAGGACCTGAAAAACACAATGATTGGGGACGTTATAGCCGCCATCGACCTTGGCACCAGCCGTTCTGCGTATGCCTACACCGTCGTTGGGCGCGATGAGATCATTCTAGGTAAGGGTGCGGGGAGATAGATGGGTAACACGCTTCATTTTCCAGAGCACAGAGAGAACAGCCGCGGAATAATTGGCTGGCGCATAGGTGCTGAAGGACGCCCGTCCAAGGCATTCCGATGACCTCGTAACCGCGCGTTCGCACTCTAATACAGTGATTCATATGTACAGAACATGCGTTGTGATCGCCTCATTCTCGATCTGTGTACCGTCATCTCATCGCCCGCTTGCTGGCAGGTGTGCCAGGCCGACTTAACGAATCAAAGGTCGCCGTCGAAAGGAAAACCGCGACGGCGGTTCTACTCAGGCGCTCGTCCGAGAATAGGGGGGGCTGGTGCATGGTCACCTTTGGAGACGGCGCCGAGCAAGAATACCTGGACGCTAGGAACGGAGATGGCGAGGCCGCGGGAAATTTGGCGCTCTTCAAGTACTTCAAGATGGAGCTTTTCAAGGGTGGACGGAACGGTACCAAGCGTTCCAGCATTGACGACGCTGAGGGCATCTCCGAGGACGAGAAGACCCGACTTCCTCTGGTTTACGTTGTGTCGCTGGCCCTCGAGTATATCAAGGACGTGATCATCAACCGGCTCAACAATGCTGACAGCCACACTCTAAGGGCTTCTGACATCCGGTGGGTGCTAACCGTACCCGCCATTTGGAGCTCCTTCGGAAAGGCGTTCATGCGCTCGGCAGCATTGAGGGCTGGCCTCATACAAGACGAGAACGACATGGAGGTATCAAGGGTCGATGCGTAGGCTGCACACGAGGCAACTGTCTCTTCTGGTATTGTCGCTGTACTTCTAGAATACTACATTTTGTGAACCAGATAAAGATGCTACCCTGGCGGCTGGAGCGGCCACAGATGCGTTGCAATACATGTAGTTGGGAATTTTCAGCGGGCTGTAGTCCAGGCAAAATACGTTTTTATCTCCGCAACAAACCAATAATCCTTCCGTTGTCTGTGGTTGTGCAGCATCTACGCCTTTGCCTGGAGCCGGAGGCCGCGTGCCTTACGGTCGAGCACCACCACCACAATATCCGCAAGTGGGAAACCGGGATGAAGGTGATGGTGCTCGACTGCGGGGGTGGCACCGTCGACATAACTACCCACCACGTGGTCCGCATGGACCCCTTAGGTCTCGAAGAGCTCGAAGAACCCACGGGCGGCCCATGGGGATCAACGACGGCCGATACCAAGTTCAAGCTGTTCATTAAGGTGCGCAATGATCCACAGAATTGTGCAGGACGCGGTCCAAATAATTCTGCGTACAATACGCAGCGCTACGTGCAGTGGTTTTGGGATTGAGGCTTGATTCCCAGTTCTGTTGCACGAACCAACTACAGTGAAATGTATCCTGCCTGCCTGCTATTTGCAAGAACCATGCCACGTGAGTCTACTTGCCATCACGTGTACGACGGTTCGAGCGGTCAAGGCCGTGGATCTGTGTCACATAAAGCTGGGCCGAAGAAAAAAAAAAGACGCAATGAAGGTCTCCCAGATGATGCCGTAACGAGTACTGACGTGGGAATGGATGTGCCGTTTTCACTGTAAGCACTGAGTGCTGAGAAGTGACCAGCGAGACCTCGCGAGATGGCCTGGCGGTAATGTTGTCTACGTCTCAAAGGCATGGCGCCCGACCGTACGAGGACTCAACAATGAGTCTTGTGTCGCTTTGAGCAAATGTCGTGAAAAGCCAGCACGCCACAACACACAACAGCCCGGAATCGCGTAGGAGGACCTAGCATTGCCCGAGCTTTGCTATCAAGCTTGTGGGGAGGACCCCAACTTGAGGTAGCTCAACACGTAGTTCACTTAAGGGCTAAGCAGCACGGCTGTCACTCCACGGCATCTTGCGTGGATCTTCGCCATGTTAAAGAAGGCGACCCTACCGTCCGGAAGACATCGTGGGTGCTACATACCGATTTGACCTTCCTTTGCTGGCAGAATATGCTCCGTTGCAATGACGAGCAATGGGCACAACTGCACAAATCAACGGAGATGTTCGATCTGATGGCTGACTGGGAGGCCAAGAAAACGGATCACCACCCTGGAAAGAAGGTATGGATCAGTATCGCTGGTGTCCTTGATCACGTCGGCATGAGCGCGAAGGACTACGAGGGTGCACGGAAGCAGTTCAACGACATCTCCATGGTGAGTCTCAAACTCAGGGGTGCTGCCAGAGTCCCGAACTCCGCCGTGTGCGCCTGTACAACCTTGCTCAGGTTCGCATGGTTACGGAAGTTACATGATACAGCGTTGCCACCAACGTTAACACGACCACGTGCCATCGTACTTGAACGAATTTTGACATGGACTTGTTCACCCCGCGCGGGCGAAGACTCGAAAATAACATATTCTTCATGGGGACACTTTGTCGTAAATGCTGCTGACCTGGACACGTTGGATAGAGCAGCTTGTCCAACAGACTACTTGGTGACGAGTAGTTTGAACAACCCGAAATGTGTTGCTGTCAAACCAGGGCATAAGCCAAACGTGGCACTACTACTCTAGCCGCCACAGGTTGTGAAACATTGTGCCATCTGTGTCGGTAATGATTTCCGTCTCCAGTCGGACACGTTCCTCCCGTCTATTGGTTCCCCCTCCGAATTTCGCGCGTCTCAATGTTCACTTCCGCCAATAGAGAACCATGCCCTCCGCGTGTTGGTGCCACGTGCGACACTACACTATCCGGACACAACGGCAATGAGTTGGCCGCGCAACCTCCCGCGGTCGGTCCTGTGATATCAAACACACGGGGGGGCGACAGTGTCCAGCCTCAGTAACTCTGGAATCGCCTATTGCGCACACGCACATGTTACGCCACGCTGTGTTGAGCTATCACAGTCGTTCCACTCCCTCCGGATATCGGATGCAATGTCGACGTGGTTCACAGTCCCGTGACAAACGTCTGCAGTCCCCAAGGACTTTCGACGTACCAACAGCACCACATCAACACGGAGGCGTTCGTGAAGGCCCTCGCCGCGGAGACTGGCGTCGATAACACCACGAGAAACCCACAAATATTTCCGGAAGACCAAATCCTAAGCAAACCTGTTGGAGCCGAAAAATTGTTTTCAACGAAAGAAAGGTCCCTCGGAGTGTTGGTGGTGTGTAGAGATGTACAGCCTAATAGAGTAGTTGTTGAGAAGCACGATGACCACTAGACTACTAGTCAGCGGCTGACTACCGTAGTAGTCTAGTGGTCATCGAGCTTCTTGACAGTTGTGTACCGGACAATCACACTTTCTCGTCCTACTATGGCCTACCATGCTCCTACCAGGGAAACGCGTTCTTTGTTGATGACTCTGGAGGAAGTGCCAAGCACCCCAAACAAGAGTGGAGAAAAATGATTGGATATCGTCATTGGTACGACGTTGGATCGTGCCTACATAGTGCAGGACAAAAATCCACTGCGCGATCAGCGAAAGCTGCCGGAGAACATCCAATCAATGATGTGGCCCGGAATGCTTTCAATGTGGCCCCCATTGACGATCAACAAGCGATGGACGCTAGAGATAAACGGTGCCTGTAGTCGCAAGGGGTAATGCAAAATGGAGCCAGCCATAAGCCGAGGACTCTTCCACAAACCAACGGGCCCCCAACATGTTCTACAGTTTTGCTTGACCGCCAATGGGCACCACGTTGAGCATATGGGCTGCCCATGAGTGCCCTTCGACCGGAACCAGCGTACTCTACACACTATATTTTCTGCTTTGGAACGGGCATTATCGCGGCTAGGACCCTAACCCTTACCCGAAGCCCACACGGTACATGCTACGTTGGCGCTGGGTGGCGAGTTCTAGGTTGATTGTGGCTAAGTTCCATGTAGGTTGATATGCCAGCGGAAAAATTCTAGGTTGAAGTGCCACGTGGGCACTTCATGGGCCGCCCATGGGCCCACCCATCAAGTGCTTATGGGCGGCCCATGGGTGCCCCGTGGGTGTCATGGGCAGTTTTGTAAAACTGTCACTAGTGTGGGAGATTGAAACCAACGGGGGATCACCACTGTGCCCTGCAGTTTCTCTTTCTTGAGGAGATTTTGCGCGCCAGCCCCCAAATAACGAAGCGCAGACAACACACGGTAATTGGCATCACTGGCACGCTTCAAGCCCAAGCCTTGTAGATGCCCGGGAAAAAAATGGAGTTGCGGAGCAGGTCATTGCTCCCACAGGATTACCGTTCGTACACCTTGCATGCGTTCAACGCTCCATGTACATAGCAGCAACGCTTGGGCGGTTCATCAACGAGCATAGAGGACAGCGTGTAAGCACTTGGATCGTTCGCAGCCGGCCTTCTGTTGTGCGGGGAACCGAAGAAACGTTGGCCCACGCGACAACGAATGTGCAGCGCGAACAAACATGGCATCTACAACAACTTGGTTGTTGGAGCTCAAACAATAAGTTCTCATTTCCATTCCACAATGAATCGTGCCCGACTGGCATCAACGTCGATCTCGACGGTCCCCGCAGGCTAAAGCTGAGGGCATGGGGCGGAAGGTCTCGCTCACCCCGGAACTCGTGAGCAGCTTCTTCGAAGAGGCGATGGTCGAGATCGTAAAGGCCGCAGAAACGGTGCTGGCAAGGCAACCAGAAATCTCCGTCGTCTACATGGTCGGCGGGTTCTCCGCAAGCCCGCTGCTGCAAGAACGTGTTACTTCCGCCGTGCAGAAGCCGGGTCTCCGCGTGGAAACCTTGGAGAGGCCGGGCCTAGCCATTGTGAGTGTGGTGTGAACCTGGAAGCGGTCTATCGTCTAGCTATCGATCGGCAATTTCTCATTGTTGATGCATTGCCATACTTCGTTTTCTGTTTGATCTTGATATGGGAAAAGAAACCATTGCGACTGTGTTGGAGAAACCTTTGAGCTTTACAACCTTACTCTCTGCCGAGTACATCGCCTCTGATGGGACACAAGGTTGTGTGCGCCTCCGTCGTCTCAACTTCTGCTTAATCCTGCGCTATAAAAAATACGCTCTTGTGTCGGGCGTGGGGTCGAGAGAAGCTTCGAAAGAAAGGTCCACACATTTGCATCTCGACATTGTCATGTGCGCAGCAGCACGAAAATGGATGATCGCACTTCATGCCACCAGGCAACAAGGAACGCTCATCGTGGAGTGCGGCCTCCGACCCCACCCGTAAGGTTTTCCCCTCCCCTTTGTTGTGGCCACATTGTCTCCCAACGCCAAATCGATACCACGTCGTAACACCAGGTGCTGGGGGCAGCGCGGTACGGGGCCAGCGACTCCACGATTGTGTCTCGCAAGGCACGCCTGACATACGGCACCAAGTACGTGACCCGGTACGATGAAAACAACAAGAAACATACCGACCGCCAGGCGCACGCCCGCTTTGTCGGGGACGGCTTGTACCTAGACAAGTTCAGCTGCTACGTGGAAAAAGGTACCGACCTACCCGTTGGTACGGACAAGGAACACACGTTTCACCCCGTGACTGATGAACAGGACCAAGTATCGTTTGATGTGTGCATTTCGCTGAAGCCTGAGGCGGACATCGAGTACCTCAAGGACAACGGGGTGAGCAAGAAGCTGAGCCTCCTGAAAACCGTCTCTGCTCCCATCGATAGGAACGTCCCCATGTCGAAAAGGGGAGTGTCCATGAAGTTGTCGTTCGGTGGCACCGAGCTCGGCATCAAGTGCACGAGGTGTTCCGACAGTCACGAGGTGGTCACGCAGACCAAGTTCGTGGAGGACATCGAAGACACGCGGTTCGAGGCAAGCCGCTAAGTATACCAGGTAGTCTACGTTGTACCGTGCTGGTTGAGCTACTGCTGTTGGTTAGATCAGCAGATTGTGGGAATGGGCGTGTGACGGTGGGTACCGCAGTGGGTCGTGACTGGTTTGGACCGAGAGTTGCTGACTTTTCGGACCGCAGCTGCAGCCTTGATTGCACAGCCCCGACAACCGGTCTGGGTGCGCTAATGGTCATGGCATTGCTCCGTAATGTCCTCTTCTGGAATACGTGCTCAGGTCAGGGCTCCGTACGCCGGAAGGCAGTTTTCACTCTCTTCTTTGCTTCAGAGTATATTGGACTACATGTATGTATAAAACAACCGAATTCCCATTGGTTGTCGGCCTTCAGGGCTAGGTTGACGTTTGGGGACAACTTACGTACCCATGCTGAATTCGCAGCGTATCGGTCCTTGGCGAAGACTTTCCAACCCGCCTGATCATGGCCAACACCCGGAACTGTTGCTCGCTGTCGATGCCCTGTGACTTTCATGGTCGGTCATGGTGAAAATCATATTCCAACGTACAACAAATTTGGTCTTTTTCGTGTCTCAAGTGTTCCCCATCTTCAATATCGACGCATTACCACAGGCGTTTGATTATTGAATGAAAGGCCAATTCGAAGTATATAATCAATCGTCATCGATTTCTGTGACCTACGTTTCGAACGATCATGTTTGCGACATTGGTATCGCAGCTTGTTTCGGGCAACCGTGCTTGTCCTTTCAGAGTTTTGGTCCTTTTTTGAAGGTGGTGTAGAGAGCAGCGAGGAGATGAAGATTCGCGCAAAAAGTAGTGTGATGCATCTTGTTGCATCCATACGACGACGGTTGGGCAAAAAGACAGCGGTAAGAATTGTCTAGAATGGACAACGCCAATACTTAGTCTGATGTAGAGGGAACAGGCGAGGAAAAGGTGTTCTGTGCTGCGTGTAAATATGCAAATTGGGTTGTTACGAAATAGGAGAACAACAGCCGTGACAATCCGCATGTCTTGGACTGAGGGGTCCCGTGTATACCATGTCTTCGCACGTATCCAGAGTGCAAGACTGTTGTGCGGGAAGGGAGATAGTCTACACAAGCACGCCTGCACAAATCGCTCCTCCTTCCATCCCTCTCTGCGCGCGCGCAATGTACATCCACAACAACTTCCGCGCACGCGTAAAAAAATTGAAAACGTCGTTTTGCGGCGAAAAAACAGCCCTCTACATTACTGTACATGTGTGTAGCTTGCATGGAAGATGTTTGATTCCAAGAAAGCACTACATACTTCCGTTGAAGTTCGTTGATTTTCTTCCACCACCCGGGACCTCGATGCGCACAATCTGCATACACAAGTAGTGTGGAGAACGATGAAAGGACATGAGAGGTCCCCACGTTCGAAGACATGGCGTGTCCTCGCACGCACCGCCATTTGCATGTATCTTCATCTTGTGTTGTAGATGTTGCCCGAATGTTGCTATATAGTCTAGACTATGCTGCTGTGGAAAAAAAAAAATGAGTTTGCGTGCTGTAAAACACAGCAGTCTAACATGACCGCGACACGCCGTTACTCTGTACCTACGTCATTTATAGGGGAAACGACACAACAGGGTATACCCTGGTCGAAAAGCGACACGCCTGGGTACACGGTCATTAACAGCAGTAAATGCACTCACATGATTGGTCAGCGCCCACTTTCACCCCGGTGCGTCCGAAAAGGCGCAGGGTATACCCTGCCGTGTCTACTTTTCTCACCAACTGTACCCTGTTTTCGGAAATGTACCCTGACCTGACGGGAAATGAGACCCTTTCATCAATCATTTTTCCCGCAGGAATCTTCCCAACTCCTTTTCCCCTCCAACCATGGGATTCCAAACGGCGAATCTTCCCGCCCAACAACAACCATGGCAACGCGGCAGGAATCAGTTTCC